CACCATGAGTCAAGATTGAATCAAGGGCAGTTAACAACAACAAAGCAGCTCTGAGAGCCTTTTTGGCTTGAGCCAGATATAAATACTCCAAATAAATAAAAAAAATTATTAATAGCATAGTAAGTTGTTATAATGGGAATGCATTGCATAGGCAGGTACCATGTGATGGATTTGTCCCCTTTGCCTTCTACAGGATGTGATAATAGTTATGTCAGCATGTACTTCTCTCTGTGCTATCATATTTATGTATATCAGTTGGACTGGAGTACTAGACACACCATGAATTTAGAGTGTTAAGAGCAGGGGTAGGCAACCTTTCCCCTTTAAGGGCCGAGGGACTTCAGCTCCCAGAAGCCTCAGCCATGTTGGCCAATAGTCCCATGTTGGCCAATAGCTCCTGGGATTCTGGGAGCTGAAGTCCCTCGGCCCTTAAAGGGGAAAGGTTGCCTACCCCTGGTTAAGAGTAATATGCAGTAACAGCACTGTGATATCTATGCAAGACTTGAACACTTCTTGAGGCTCTTGAAAACATGCTTATGCGAAACATATAGATCACTGAACCCCACCATTAAGTGTTCTGACATAGATTTCAGTTTTAGCTAACAGAAGACGATGACAAAAAGACACGGAGGAAGAGGTGGAGGAGGAGAAGAAGGGAGCAGTGGTGTGGAAGAGAACTTGAAGATGTTACATTTATAACCCACCTTTCCTTCAATGAGCTGAAGTTAGTGTGTATGATTCACTCTTCTCTTTATTTTAAAGTCAGGCTTAGAGGACACTAGTGCCACCAAACTAGTTCTGGTCTGAGTACCAAAGAATATAACACTGAAACACAAACAAAAGCTAAATGCATGCCAGTAATTTTGACAGATTACGCCTACCAGGTTGTTCACACAGACCCCAACTCTGGGCTCCTGCCACACATGTTGCTCCTAAAGCCCTTAAAACACTTACTGGCTTTATTGTGTAGGTGTCCTAACATGGCTACAATGTTGGACTGGGAAATGGATTCTTGTTTTGGTTCAGGTTTGCATATGCTAAAACCCTCAACTGAAT